GGCCAGTCTGGGACCTCAGGGTGGGCTGTCATCAGGCAGGCCAAAGGTCTCTGCCACAGTTGTTCATCAGCAGTGTTTTCTCTAGGGAAGACGCCTCATGTATGTCTTAGCTACGTCTTTTGATGGATTAAATCAGGCCCTTCCAGTCTGCCTGGGAGTATTTCCTTGCCCACGGTATACCTACAGTGGGGACTAGTCACCTCTCAGCTGATTCTCCTGTCTCAGAGGCAGTGAGCACCTGTGGGTTGATTTAGGAGAGACTGAGGCTGATCAAGTGATCTACACAGGGTGTGCTAAGCCTGCTTAGGAAGGACCAAGTTATGCAAAGCTTGGGGCCGCAGAGTGTACTAAGCAGGCTTGTTGGGAACTGCAGGAAGGAAAATGTTGCACCTCTAATGTAACTGAAGGTGCTGAGGAAGGTTTCCATGAAGATTTGCCAGGAAGCCACCAGTTAGGCCCATCTCCTAACACAATAATCAAGCATTGCTGCAGGCCACAGGGCTGGATGGCAGGTTTGATCTCTGTTTTGGGAGATATTTAAAATGGCAGCACCCGATCTGTCTTGTGGTACGGGCCGCCATATTCCTGACTAGGCTAGACCTGAGGTCACAAGCAGCAGCATGTTCTCACCGCTGCTGTGGCTCAGGCCGCCAGCTCAGATGGCCAGAGACACTGGCCCTGCCACCCACGAGACACCAGCATGGGAGATGGCTCTGCCAATCTTTCACACTGTCTCCACAGGGCTGAGCTGAGCCCAGACCATCCCGTCATCCACAAGGACCCTGTAAAAATGAGATCTAATGCTTAGATTATCAAAAGGCTTTATATATTTGGCTCAGTAACAAGATGCCCACACAATTAGAGGTGTAACCCAATACCCAACCTAGATATACCAACTACCTTTGACTGCTAGAGACACATGAATGTCTGCTGCCATGTTCCCCTCTCTCTCGTCCTCTCTCTTCCTCTTCCTCTCCTTACTACTCCTCTTTCTCTCCTTACTCCTCCCAACTCTCAGGAAAATATGCCGCTACAGATCTCCTTGGAAGCGCTGACCAAATCCAGTGTACATGAAGCACCCTGGCATGTTTCTGACCTCACGGGCCTGTGAGAGAGGCTTGCACACTGCACTGGTGCTGTGGTGAAACAAGAGGTAGAGAAGGCCGAAACCATTGAGATTTGAGATTAGTGACAGAGATTCCGCTGCCCAGTCCCAGCCGTGTCCTCTGTGACAGTCCATACCTAAGCCACTGCCCAAGTGAGGGTCTGCCCTCTATGCCTCCTGACCTGGTCTTGCCTCCAGGATGTGACAGCTGAACCTTGACAGACACGGTGCCTGATTCTGACTTTTCCTTTGGTCCTCTGGTTTATCTGAGGATGCTAGAGGATTTGATCTCATAGCTGATTGACAAGTGGGATCTCCTGTAGCCCAGGCTAGCCTCAAAACTGCCTTCTCCATGCCTCTGCCTCCTGAATGCTGGGGCTGGAAGCTTGCATGTCACACCCTGTTGTTGTGGATGAATTTGTTAGAGGAAAGTCTTTACTGTATCTCTGGTATTCCAGGGTCAGTCATACATGCTGACTCAGGTACAGCCTGTGCCATGGTCCTCGATGCCATGTCTAAGATTGCTTTCCAAAAATGTACAATTTTCATGCCTATCAAAGTCATGGGAAATGATGTGGCTGGCCCCTGTCCTTCCTAAGGCGCCTTGGTCTGTATTTTTTAGCATAAACTGATTGGTGGGTATTACCACGATATAGAACCTATTTCTGTTTTCCTTGTGGGTTTTTGGAGTGCCGACAGTGGAATCCATGGCCTGTGTGTACTAAGTAACTGCTCTACACTGAGCTACAGACCTGGTGTTATGTCTTGTTCTTGAATACAGCAATTCTCTCTCGTAATAGACAGCCCTTAGGCGACCACAGGTTTGGCAGGAAAGCCGATCAGAGCCAGGAAGTGAAGGTGCCATTTATCTGACCTTGTTGCTGTTTCCCACTGTCACCTAACTATCTTCAATCCAGCTGCCCGTGTGCCACACGCCCTCCGTACACCTGTCTGACTGTCTTTTACAGTCAGGGTGAGGGGGAGAAACATTCAAAGATGGATGGACACATATCTCAAACTGACATTTAAATTCTCTAGATAATCTCTCATCCTGTCATGGTTTCCCTTGGCTGAGTTTTCAGATATCGAGTCAGAACTGCTGCTTAACTCGTGGAACATGATAATACGTATGATGATGTCAGTGTCTAAAGCATGTTTTCCTGTGCTTTCTCACTTACAGGTAACAGTGTCTAAACATGTCTTCCTCACTTACAGGTAAAGGGCCGCTAGAGAGAGCCTTGCTCTTATGTGTGTCTAGTCACACGAGCCCAGGGACAAAACTCACAGCTTCTGGACCTGTCAACTCTCTTGACATAGAGTTTCCAAGGAAACGCAAAGGAAGTGACTCAGAGCTGCCCCAGTAAGTGCATGCTGTTCTAACTCCAGGAAATTTTTCAATCAGAAAAAGGGAGCTAGTCTGTGCCGCATGGCACCTGGCCACTGCCTACCGCTGACCTTTCCTTCTAGTGCTGGTGACGATGGACACCTGGGAGGGTCAGCTAGAATCTGAAGGAGATGTTTCTGCGTAATCAATACACAGTGCTCATGATAACAGCTAATTCCCCTCCTTCCTCATCAGAATACTTCACCAGGAGCAAAATATCCATGCATGTTTGGCTTAAAAAAAATAATTCTCCCCTCACTGGCCACCCAGCTTATCAGTGTCAGGCTAACTGGGCCTTGGTGATCTGTGATCAGTTTAATCCTATAAAACTCTTGTTTCTATGTCTACTAAGCCAGGTCAATGATAAAGAGAATGGCCAGTCTGTGGTTCCTTGTTGTTTGTGTTGCTGGAAATAAACCCAGGATCTCAAGTGTGCTAGGCAAGATTTGTGTTTCTGAGCCACAACCCAGCTCCTCACTGGAGGATTCTAGGTAGGTGCTCCACCGCCAGCCTGCCCTGACACTCACACCGTCTTTATATTTTGATAAGCCTTAAGCAGTGCGACAGCTGGGCCACTTCCTAACCTCCACGTGGTTAATCCACCTCCTGCCAATAATCCTGTTATTACTAAACTCTATATTCTACTTTGGTTGCCCTGAGGGCTGCCCAACTGGGCCACACTCTCCTGGCTCCTTCACATGCCGGCTATGTCTCCCGGTTCTCCATTCTTCTCGGGCATGGCGGCTCTCCTCTCCTTCTCCTGGCATGGTGGATCTCCTTCTCCCCTTCTCTTTGTCCCAAGCCTGGGAATCCTAAAAGTTCCGCCTCTGTCTTTCCTACCCAGCCATTAGCTGCTGGCATCTTTATTTACCAATCAGAATCAACTGAGGGCAGGGTCCTGTTGGCTCCTTGCCACAGGTCCAGGTGAGAGGAGAGAGGTCCTGGTCCCACTGGGCCTCTTCTCCAGGGCTGAGTGGGATGGCGAGTGCCTATGGCCCAAAAGAAACACATCAGGCCGAGAGTCTTGTCGAAACAGGAACTCAACTTTATTGCAATAGCCTCTCGCTTATATAAACTCGGAGCATAGAGAGGGGGACTTTTGGTGGGTGAGGTGACGTAGGGTGTGGGGAAGGGTGACAGAGGGTATGAGGCGACTGACAGGGCCAATGGCAAAGCTCTACATCAGCAATGGTGAGGCAGAGGCATGGCCAAACAGGTGTTGCTGAGTCACTCCATACGGAAGTGATTGAGACAGGTCTCAAAACTCAAGCCAGGCTTAGGCTCTCCCACAAGGATGCAGAAACTGGCTTGGGTTTGTCCTCAAGGCTCAAACCAGGGCCAAAATGGGCCCAACGGGGTCCCTAGTGTCTTACATGCAGACACTCATGTAAGCAGTTTTGGGGACCAAAATTAGCATTATAATACAAGCAGCATTAGGCCAAACTCACTACAGCCCCCACTCTCTCTGTCTCTCTCTGTCTCTCTCTTTTACTCTCTCTCTTTCTTCTTTCTTCCTGTCTCATCCCCTCTTTCCCTTCTCTCTTATGCAGCTTGTAGCCTGAGATAGTCTTTAATAACTCTCCCAAATCTAGGATTATATAGTAAAAGCAATAGGGACAAATCTTAGGCTGGCACTGTATGTGAGTGAGAAAGCCATGGAGTTTCCCACCTTACCCAAAAGGCGAAGTTCTGAGTTGTGAGGGAGAACACAGACGGACATCCTAGATCTTTATAACTCAGATCTCACCGGTATCCTTCATCTCTTAGCTCTGATCCCAGGACAACGGTGCTGGTGTGATTCCACCACCAGCCCCACAGTACTTCCCAGGCCGATTGCGCAAGACTGGGAGGTTTCTTCCTCTTACTGCCTGTATTCTCCACCTTTCTCATGTTAGCAGCATGTACAGGTGGACGGCCACGGGCCTACGAACACGTCCCTTCATCCTGAGTTATCAATTGATAACAAATGATAGCTCGCTCCTACTAGGATTTGGGGGTTTTGTTTTTCGTATTTTTTAGAGTTTTGGGTTTTGTCATTTTTTTTGAGACATAACTTCAGTATGTAAGCATACCTGCACTGGAACTCACCTCATAGCACTATGTAGCTCAGGCTGGCCTAGAACTTCATACAGTCAGGGTGGGTCTTCCTTTCTAGGTTAAGCCTCTCTAGGGATACCTTCTTAGAAATGCTCAGTGGTACTAGTTAAGAGCACTGACTGCTCTTTCAAAGGTCCTGAGTTGAATTCCCAGGAACCACATGGTGGTTCACAACCATGTGTAATGGGATCTGATGCCCTCTTATGGTATGTCTGAAGACAGCTACAGTGTACTCACATAAATAAAATAAATAAATAAAATCTTGAGAAAGAGAGAGAGAGAGAGAGAGAGAGAGAGAGAGAGAGAGAAAGATAGATTACCCAGAGGTGTGTCTCCTAAATGATTAAAAATCTCATCAAGGTCAAGATGGAGATTCACCATCCCAGGGGCCACACAAAACCTCTTTCTTTCCAGGTCAGAATTCATGACAGACACAACGGCAGAAAGCCTTCCCCAGAATCTTTTTACCTCTTTTCTTTCAACAAGAACAGGAGAAGCAGCTCCCAACGGCATCAGGTAAGTTGGATATAGCCTGTGACTAAGTGCTCTGTGCTCTTCAGGAGTGTGGTGTGTGACAAAGCGCTCTGTACTCCTCAGGGCTTCACCCTGGCCCAGTCCTCCTCTGCTCCCACCATTTCCCGTGATTTTTCAAAACATAGTTTTTGCCACATGCTGGATGTCTGTGGTATCTCACTCAGGCTGAGAAAGGCAGTCCTTGGACATATGAGCATTTTTGTGCCTGTAGCCCCCGATCCTCTGAAACTGGCCACTTTCTTGTGGTTCTATTGTCTTTGGGTAGATAGCTGATTCTCTCAAAGAGATGGTGACCAGATTCTATGGTATACAGTCATCCGACGTTTATCAAGAATCTACTACGTAGGGCTAAAGAGTTGTCTCAGCAGTTAAGAGCACTTGCTCTTACAGAGGGCCCGAGTCTGGATCCCAGCACCACGGACTACAACTGCCTGCAATTTCAGCTCCAAGGAATCTGATACCATCTTCTGGCCTCCATGGGCATCCCCTCAAACACACACTTGCACAGGCACAAGCACACGCATATACACACACATTCAAGCACACACACAGAGAAATAACAAAATCAATCTTTAAAAAAAAAAGATTTATGTATCTGAGTGTTGGCCCGCATGTCAGTGCACCACATGTGTGTGCAGTGCCCACAGATCCCAGAAGAGGGCGTTGGACCCCTAGAACTGGAGTTATGGGCAGTTGTGAGTCACCTGTGGGTGTAGAAACAGAACCCAGGTCTTCTTCAAGGACAGCAATGCTCTTATGCAGTGAGCCATTTCTTCAGCCCTCAATTAAAGAAAAATAAAAATAAGACAGCCTACTGTGTGACACCTGGTAGAGTAAGACACACTGTGTTTCAAATGGAGAGCAGTATCCTTTGGGTGTGGATTGTTGAGAGGTAATTTTGGAAGTGTGGGTAGCACAGAGCAGGAGAAGGAAGCTCAATTTAAAAGCCTCGGGAGCCATGCACGGCCCCAGAGTGAGGCTGATGGTGACTAAAGACGGGGAGATATAATTGTGGGATATGGTAAAAAGCAGACTCTACTGAGCTTCGTGACAGTTAGACCCTTTGAGGAAAAGAAAAGGGACACCAACCAAAGAAAACGACAACCAACAAATTGGGAAAAGATCTTCACCAATCCTACATCTGATAGAGGGCTAATATCCAATATATACAAAGAACTCAAGAAATTAGACTCCAGACAACCAAATAACCCTATTAAAAAATGGGGTATAGAGCTTAACAAAGAATTTTCAACAGAAGAAACTCGAATAGCCGAGAAGCACCTAAAGAAATGTTCAGCATCCTTAGTCGTCAGGGAAATGCAAATCAAAACAACCCTGAGATTCCATCTCACACCAGTCAGAATGGATAAGATTAAAAACTCAGGTGATAGTAGATGCTGGCGAGGGTGTGGAGAAAGAGGAACACTCCTCCATTGTTGGTGGGACTGCAAGATGGTGCAACCACTTTGGAAATCAGTCTGGCAGTTCCTCAGAAAATTGGACATAGCATTACCCGAGGATCCAGCTATACCACTCCTAGGCATATACCCAGAAGATGCTCGAACATATAACAAGGACATATGCTCAACTATGTTCATAGCAGCCTTATTTATAATAGCCAGGAGCTGGAAAGAACCCAGATGTCCTTCAACTGAGGAATGGATTCAAAAAATGTGGTATATTTACACAATGGAGTATTACACAGCTATTAAAAACAATGAATTCGAGAGTTTCCTAGGTAAATGGATGGAACTAGAAATTATCATCCTGAGTGAAGTAAGCCAATCACAAAAGAACACACATGGTATTCACTCACTGATTATCGGATATTAGCCCAGAACCTTGAAATGCCCAAGATGCAACTCACAGGCCACATGAAGCTCATAAAAAAGGAAGACCAAGCGGGGGTGATTCAGTTCTTCTTAGAAGGAGCAACAAAATACTCAAGGGAGCAAATATGGAGACAAAGTGAGGGACAGAAACTGAAGGAGGGGCCATTTGAAGACCTTTCCACCTGAGTATCCATCCCATGTGCAGTCACCAAAGGTAGATGCTGATGTGGAAGTCAGGAAGTGCATGCTGATAAGAGCCTGATATAGATGTCTCCTCAGAGGCCTTCAAGAGTCTGACATATTCAGAGGCAGATGCTCACAACTAGCCATTGAACTGATCATGAGGTTCTCAATAGAGGAGTTAGAGTGAAGACTGAAGGAGCTGAAAGGGTTTGCGGCACCATGAGGAGAGCAACAATACCAACCAACCACAGCTCCCAGTGTCCTAACCACCAGCCTGGGAGCACTTAGGGAGGGATCCAGGGCTTCAGCTGAATATGTAAGAGTGGAGGGCCCTGCTGGGCACAGGTGGAAGAAGAGAACCTTGACCTCATGAAGCCTGGACGCCCCAGGGGGTGGGAATTTTGAGGGTGGGGAAGTGGGAGTGGGGGGGGGTAGGTGGGGGTTACATCCACGGAGAAGAAGGAGGAGGGGTAAGGGGATGGGAGGTTCCCGGGTGGGTGGGGGATGGGGTAAGGGGACAACATATGAAATGTAAATAAAATATCCAATAAAAAAAAAAAAAAGAAAAGGGAGGGTTGGGAATGAATATCTGTGTCCGGAATCCACGATCCACCACACAGAGGGAGGGGCACGTGGGAGGGGCACGTGGGAGGGGCACGTGGGGGGGCGGAAGGAGATCCAAAGGGGGAGGGGAGATGCAGGGTATGCATTTAGTTTGGATTTTTTTTTTTTTAGTTGCAGATTTCTTGGGAGGCATTTGGGGGCAGGACTGCTTCCAAAGGCTGAAGGAGGAATTATGACAGACTTTTTTATAGTACATAGCCAGGGAGCCGTGGGGAGCCGTGGGGAGCCGTGGGGAGCCGTGGGGAGCCATGGGGAGCCATAGGCAAGAGTGCATTCTCCTTGGTGCTCTGCAGAGTGGAGAGATAGGCATCAAGCAGCCGGTCATGGTGGCACTAATATTTAAGGCTGAGTAAATTGTCTAAGGTGCTGAGCCTAGCAAAGAGAACCACAGAGGCTGAGGAGGGGGAGGAGTCACGGAAGCCAAGGGCCCAGAAAGCAAAGGTCCTGTCAGTTTGATAATCAAGCCTTAGAACTCATGAAAAGTGCAAAGAGGCCCAACTCCTCAGAGCTGTTGCCCGAACTCCATCTGCCTGCTGTGGTGTGCACCCCCAATGATGATGGTGATGATGATGACAAGGTGGAGGAACAGGAGAAGGAGGAGGAGGGGGAGGGGAGGAGGATGAGAGGAAGGAGGAGGAGGGAGAGGAGGAGGAGGGGGAGGAGGAGGGGGAGGAGGAGGAGGGGAGGAGGAAGAGGGGAGGAGGAAGAGGGGGAAGAGGAGGGGGAGGAGGAGGGGGAGGAGGAGGAGGAGGAGGATGGTGGTGATGGTGATGATAGTGGTGATGGTGATATTGATGGTCAATAGTGGCAGTAGTAAATGAAATACAAATTGTAAAATGCTTTCTAGGATGGTAGGCAGGGTGTGGACTCATCATTGGTCTGCTGCTTTTGAGACAGGGTGTAGTTGCATAGACCAGGCTGGCCTTGAACTTGCAGTGTTTTTTCTGCATCGGTCTCCAAGTGCCGGGCCTGCAGGCTTGAGCCGCCATGATCTTAAACATGGAGAAGGGCCTGGGAGTGGTGGCTCCAGTTGGAGACTGTGTGCTTTCCCGGAGCTAGCTGGAAACCAAAGGCTTGAGGTCAAAGGTCACAGCAACAATAATGCTGGAGTTAGTGCAGGTGTTGTTCAGAGTGGAGGCTCAAGCGATTTCTAGACATAATCAGGTGGTGGACAAGAACGGAGCGTGTGCGGGTGACAGCTGTGCACATATCAAGTCAGCTTCAACTAGCAGAGACCGCCTGCTCTTCCACAGGAGGGAGGAAGGAAGCCAGGGCCTCAGAACACAGGTGTCTCAGCTTAGTAAGTTCATGGTCAAAGGCGTGGGATGTGGTGGAGGTGTGATGGTTTTACAAGCGCTTTTCCCAGAAGCTCTGGCTTCTCACATAAATGCGTCTGGGAGGAAGAAGATCCTGAGTGTGGTGGGCTGGATCCATACCCCCAGTGCCTCTGGATGATGGGGTTTACATTAGCCAAGGAGGTCTGCCTGTCCTTCCTTCAGTCAATCAATCCTTCCTCCCTCCCTCCCTTCCTTCCTTCCTTCCTTCCTTCCTTCCTTCCTTCCTTCCTTCCTTCCTTCCTGGGAAGCTCACAGCCAGACAGAAAAGCATCGGAGAGACAAGATAAACCATCTGATTCAGAAACTGTCATCTATGATCCCCCCACACATCCCCAAGGCCCACAAACTGGACAAACTCACCGTCTTGAGGGGGGCAGTGCAGTACTTGAGGTCTCTGAGAGGTAAGCCAGAACGAGGGCTGCCCCTGCCAGGCATTCACTCTGCACCAGAATGCTGTTCCTCCGGTTAGTCCTAGCTGTGAAGATTTGGTAAAAAAATGTCTGCCCACCTTACCCACACACACGCTGATCGGTGACCCTGTCTTCATCTGAGAAGGTAGGGTGTCAGACACCAGAAATCCCAGCACCAGAAGGTGGAGGCAGGCAGATTAGGAGCTCAGGGTCAGCCTGGGCTACATGAGACATTGTTTCAAAGCAAACAAACAAAAGTATAAGAACGGTGTGCACACTGGCTGCCTTGTGTCCTATTTAGAGATCTCTGTCTGCGAAGCCAAACACACAGCAAGGATTTCAGAGATGAGGTTGTTCTGTGGACATCTGCAGCAACCTGACTGGGCTGTGGCTGCTGCAGAGCAGAGCTGTCTGGACATCTTTTCAGAGTGCTTGGAGATCTGGTTTTCATGAGCCTACCAGTCTCTATCCACTCCTGAGGGTTGGGCAAGTCACTTATGTTTCCCTTGAGTCCTTAGCAAACTCCCAGCATCGAGGTCATTTGATACTATCCCAGAGATTACCCAAGTACCTTCACGCTAGCCTTGTCCCAGGGGGAGGAGAAGCGATGCCACGAGCCAGTGGGCTGATTCAACCTTCGTGAGTCTAACACCGGCTGCAAACCTGAAGAGAGACAGGGGGATGAGCAAAGTCTCTGTTGTGTTGACGAGGGGGCCAAACCCACAGTGAGGTCACTGTCACCCAGTGCAGGGCTGGTAAGATAGCTCAGCAGGTAAAGGAGCTTGTCAACAAGGCAGACCACATGAATTTGACCCTCGTAGTAGAAGAAGGGAACTGACCACCTCCTACACACACACACACACACACACACACACACACACACACACACGGGTGGGGGAGCTGTGTCACAGCAGAGGTGCAGGGAGGGACTCATCAGGGAGACACTCTAAACCCATAGTGGTTCCCTGGAGCAGATGCTGTAGTCCCTCTCAGCTAACACGTGGTCAGCTGCTGGTCCACACAGCCTGAGCAAGCCTGAGTCAGCACAACACTCATTAGTGAGATTGGTTCAGACATACTATTTGGCTTTGCAATACAAGGTTTCCTCTGTGTAGCCCTGGTTGTTGTGGACTCTCTCTGTAGACCAGGCTGGCCTCAGTCTACCCTGTTGTCCACCTCAGAGATCCGCTTGTCTCTGCCTCCCACACACCTGCCTTAGAGTATATGTGTGTGTATGTTGTGTGTGTGTGTGTTGTGTGTATATGTGTTGTATGTGTTGTGTGTGTGTGGTGTGTGTGTATGTGTGGCATGTGTGGTGTGTGTGATGTGTGTGTGTGGTATGTGTGTCTCTGTGTGTATATATGCATACAAGTACTCAAGTGTTAGCAAAGACCAGAAGGAATGGTTGGATCCCTTGGAGCTAGAGCTACAGGCAGCTCTGAGCCACCTAATGTAGTTGCTGGGGACCTAACTTGGGTCCTTTGCAAGAGTAGCTCATACTCTTAGCCATCTCTCCAGCCTCTAATAGCTTATTCTTAAGTTCCCAGTATGCATGTTTTTGGCCAGACTCCCCATAGCCTCAGGCCTAGCTACACAGCCCTAGTTCTAGGATGCCCTCCCTCACCTCCGTCATTTTCCTGGGTGCGGCTTCCATGTTTGGTTTCCCTAACTCACTTCTGCAGTGTGTTCTGCTAATATGTTTCACTGCCCAGCCCTAGCCTGACCCTGGGATTACATGCTTACCCCTCCCCAGATCCTCAGTGTCAGCCCCAGGGCTGCTGTGTGGCAATAACCAGGGAAAACATAAAATTCAGGGCACAGGCAGATTGCTATGAGTTTGTCTTCTTATGCCAGGGTTTTCTGGTGCTGCTGCTCCAAGGAAACTCTGCCAAAGTATAGGAGGCTTTCTTGTTTCTGGAGTGGGCTTCCGGGTCATCATGGAGCTGGCTTCCGGGTCATTATGAAGCTGGCTTCCAGGTCATCAGTTCAACACTTCGGTCGTAACTAAATGTGACCTGCAAACCTAACCAAGGGCAACTTGTGATTCAAGTGGCTCTGGACGTAGCCCCTCCTATCATCGCCAGCAGGAAGGACTGGATCTGGGGCTGGGGCTGGGGATGGGGATGGGGATGGGGATGGGGATGGGGTGACTTGGTTTATCAAGGACTGCTGGTTCCTAGTCTTCAGAATGACCTGTGTTCTGCGGTGTCTTGACTTTGTGGTGTGACCTCTGTGTCCCCTTGTAGCTACCACAGCCGCCACACGTTGGCGTTGGATGTTTTGAGAACGTGGTTCCGTCCTTTTCTTGTCACAAGCCAAGCATGGCCCAAGCTTTGCCTTGCTGAACTCCTTACCTTTTTCCCGACTGTCTAGTTGTTTAGAGACTTCCATTTTAATATAATAAGCCCTGAAATAAGTTCTCGAATGATTATGTCAGGTACATTTATCTTACTGTCTGACATTATCAGACGTCTCTATATGACCTTTAAAGGGGTTTTTCTTTTTTCTTTTCTTTTTTTTTTTTTTAAAGTCTGTGAATCTATAATGTTTGTTAAATGTTCCAGAATACTGATAGTCTGAAGCAGGAGGATTGTCATGAGCTCAAGTCCAGCCTGGACTGTAGAGAGAGATTCTGTCTCATGTAGCTCAGTCAGGAGAGTTCTTGCTTAGCACGCATGAAGCCCAGGGTTGCTTCCTTAGCACTACGTAAACTGGATGTGGTGGCACCCACTTATAATCCCAGCACTTGGGAAGTAGATATCATGGGCTATATAGTGAGTTCAAGGCCAGCCCAGGACACAGAAGGCCCTATTTCACAAAAAGAAGCAGAGGAAGAAAGAAAGGAGGAGAGGGGGAGTGAATAGCCACAAAAGTCCCAAGACATTGTGAATGTTACCTCAAGTCATTGTATCAACAGTGGCCAGGCATGGCCAGCATTCCCTGAGCAATTGCTAAATTACTTTCTCTGTATTTTCAGTAACTCTGCCCTGTTTGTTTCTAGGCATGACAGAGCTTTACTTAGGAGAAAACTCTAAGCCTCCAATTATTCAGGACAAGGAACTCAGGCACTTAATCCTCCAGGTAAGTGGTTATAGCTAGGTTTGGATGGGGGCAGGTTTTCTTGAGTCTACCCTGTTGTAGACACCAGAGAGCCTGTGTCTCACATCTCTTAAATTAGACATGAAGACAAGGAGCTAATGCCTTATTAGTTGGGGAGAACACACACTTCCTATATGGAAGAGCAGTGGACTTGTCCACAACAGACACCTTATACCTGGAAACACTCCCCTCAAACCAAGGACCAGCCATGCCTGCCATCTCCTCAGAGGTGTCCAGTTCCTGGGGCTCTGTCATCTGAAGATTAGGAATGAGTCATAAGGAGATCTGCTGTCTCAGCCTAGTCCCTCTCGGGTAGGGTTTTACAGACTCCACGGCGGAGAATTTGATTGACGGTCTTGCCAGGTGCTATGACATCTTACTAACTAGAATGTGCATGCATACTTTTGTCCATTTTTTCTTTAACTTTTAAAGAAACTTTTATTCTAACTTAGTCTTTAAGATTTATTTTATTCAGGCATCCATTTGTGTCTCTCTGTGTATATATGGGGGTGGGGTGCCCTCAAAGGACAGAGGTTCTCTTGGAGCAGGGTTACAGGCAGTTAGAATCACCTGATGTGGATACTGGAAACCAAACTCTGGTCCTCTGGCAGAACAGCAAGTGCTCCTAGCTGAACTGTATCTCCCAGTTCCTGGACAGTTCATTTAAAACATTTTATTATATTGGTTTGTCAGGGGAGGGGAATGCATGTCGCAGCGTGTGTGTGTGTGTGTGTGTGTGTGTGTGTAGATCAGAGAACAACCTGTGGGAGTGGGTTCTCTCTTCCCATCATATAGCTCCAAGGATTCAAATTCTTGTCAGCAAGTACCTTTACCCACTGAGCCATCTTGCTGGCCCAGACAGTGAAATCTGTGGCTACAAAGCAATCTTTAGGTTGGATAATCATACAAAGTGCTTTGGAAGCCCAGCTGCTGTCATGAAGGCCTTTTCCACTCGCCACTCCTGCTACCTAGCTCTCCCACAGCTCGTGTCTGCCTAAGTCTTCTCCTGGTTGCTGCATGCAAGCATGAGTCAGAGCACTAGGCATGTAACTCAGTTGGCAAGTTCCTGCCTACCACGCACACAGCCCTGGGTTTGAGCCCCAGCTTTCCATGCACCAAGTGTGGCGAACGCCCGGAGCCCTTGCACTTAGGTGGTGCAGACAGGGATCAGGGGTTCAAAGTGGTCCTCGACTACATAGCAATTTTGAGTCCAGCCTGAACCACATGTGACTATTTCAAAAGAGAGAACACTGTCCTATGGAATACTATACCTGGGTCCCTGTCCAGCTGTACCCTTTTCTGTGCAGGTGGCTTATGCAGGGTGATTAGCTAGCTGAGCGATACAGAAATAGAAAATATATCAGAATATTTAAAATGTATTATTAATATGTGACATCATCATTCAAAAAGCATAGAAAGGGTTCCTATCAAGAATGTCCAGTCTGGAGACATGGCCTACAGGTTAAGATCACTGGCTTTCCTACCAGAGGATCTAGGTTCGATTCCCAGTACCCACATGTGGCTTACAACTATCTTTAATTCCAGTTCCATGGGATCTGATGCCCTCTTCTGCTTCCTTGGCCACCAAATATGTATGTGGTGCACAGATGTACATGCACACACACACACATGCATCTGCACACATGCACACATATACACACACACATACTCACACAATGTTCAGCCCTTCCTTTCCTGCTTTGTTCAGCATGCCCGTAACAGCGGCCGTAAGTGATGTGTTTGGAGAACTTTACAGGGTTTCTCTGTGTAGCAAAGTGGGATTTGGCAAGGGTGGTTTTACTTTAAGATGTTATCAGACAGAGTAATGGAGTTTACTGTAACATGGTCACATACATTTGTTTATACTTTGTCCATCTAACCTTTCCTGATATTTCTTTTCCTTTTTAAGGTGTGTCTATTTTATTTATATGAGTACACTGTAGCTATCTTCAGACACACCACAAGAGGGCATCAGATCCCATTACAGATGGTTGTGAGTCACTATGTGGTTGCTGGGAATTGAACTCAGGACCTCTAGAAGAACAGTCAGTGCTCTTAACCACTGAGCCACCTCTCCATCCCCCATCTAACCTTTCCTACCCTCTCCTGTTCTCTCTTGCTGGCCCCTTTCTCACCCTGAATGGTGATTTCGTGTCACAATGTCCAGCTCTGTCTCTTTTTCCTCCCTTCATCCTCCCATCCTGTCTCTTCTCCCGTCCTGGTGTCTGTCTACTTCCATGGCCCCTACACACATGGTAAAGTAGTTCGATAATAAGAGATAGCTCAACTAAATAATCTATAACTAAAAATTTCATGCCAAAACCTTTAGACTAGAATCAATTTGGCGTTCTTTCTACATCATATGAAAACTTTAGACTGAAATCTGCTGACTCTCTAATGGCTCCGTGAGTTTTAGTGCCGCAGTAATTTTCTTGAAAGCTGAGTGAGTACGAGGGAAGTTACTCAGTCTTGGCTTTGCTTTAACCCTAGACAGCAGAAGGCTTCCTATTCGTGGTTGGATGTGAAAGAGGGAGAATTCTTTTTGTTTCTAAGTCTGTCTCCAAAATGCTGCGTTATGATCGGGTATCAAATTGTCGTGTTTTTCATGTGGTACTGGTTTCTTTTTTAACAAATTCTCTGTTGAAGCTGAGTCTGATCCCTCCTTCCCTCTGGCACTATGTTAGAGCTTGGAGAGAGATGGGTGATGGTGGGGAGGGTGGATTCTTACGACTATCACTGGCGTCTCCATCAGGCACTGAGAGGCGATGTCATGTGACCATCACTGGTGTCTCCATCAGACACCGAGAGGCAAAGTCATGTGACCATCCATTGAGAGGCAATGTCATGTGACCATCACTGGTGTCTCCATCAGACACCGAGAGGCAAAGTCATGTGACCATCCATTGAGAGGCAATGTCATGTGACCATCACTGGTGTCTCCATCAGACATTGAGAGGTGATGTCATTTTCTGGATCCTAGCTTTGTCCAGTGTCACGAGTGGTGTCTCGGGTCAGGATGTAATGATTAAATAAAATGTCATACTTGAGTCTCTGAAAAGTGTGGGCCATCCTTCTTGGTCCCTTTCAGCAGCCCCATTACTGCTCATTACTGAGTTATATGCGTCCAGTAATAGCTTTGATCCAACTGCCGGCCACACACATTTGCCCCACAATTGGCTACTTTATATTAGGTTCTTATATCTACCACCCTTCTTCACCCCAACTCCTTCCAACGCCCAATGCTAGGTAGTGAGAAAGAAGGTTAGAGGGGAAAGAGGGCACAGACGTCTTTAGTCTACTTCCTGCTGATTAGAAGCATCTAGTTCTTTGGGGCAAATCCAGTCTTCGTCATCATGATAACCAGCAACCAGCAAATAGCAAAACCAGCAGCATTCTCGGGGCTCTGGCCTTTCTAAACCCCTCTCAAGAGTCCCCAGAATTCCAAATGTAAACTGTCTTCCTCTGGCAGGATCTCACTCCTGCCAGAGCATGAGACACATCAGAGTCACCTGCTGTGGGCAATCTGTAGCAGCCCCATATCACACGTCTTGAGATTAAAGCAAAAACATATACACACAGGATAACTGGGGTTTTTAAGAAATGAAAAATTCTCACTTTATACATGGGTTGAGTTTAGAGAGAAGGGCAACAGATCTTATGTGAGACGTGCCCAGTGTTGGGAATTGTGGAATAGGAAGGATCCTAGTGTTGGGTTTGCGTTCCCTTCACATGTTGAGCCGTGACATGGCAGATGCTCTGGGCTTCATTTTCTACTGTGATGTAACGCTTTCCATTAAAGGTGATAGATCTTATGGGCCTCGAGATGCTCAGTCAACACAGTGCTCGCAGTGTTAGCATGAGGACCTGAGTTTGAATCTCAACCACCCACATCGTTGGGTATGGCCCAGCACTGAACAGGCAGAGACAAGATGACCCCTGAGGCTCCCGGGATGGTCATTCTAGCCTTATCAGTGAACTCCAGGTTCAGTGCGAGTGAGCACATGCACACACACACACACACACAGTCACACACACACACAGTCACACACACACACACACACGGGGTGAGGCAAAGGGAGAAAGACAGAGGGAAGGATGAACACACATGGCTGGACACACATAGATATGCCTGTACACATGCATATGCAGAGGATTGTTTAAATCCTAATGCCTTAGAAACGATCCTAAGCTGAGAGCTATCAAGTGAGCTCACACAGTAACAGGATTTAAAAGAAAATCAGGAATTTCTGTTTGTATGCAGCTTATATGTAACTCTCTCTCTCTCTCTCTTTTTTTTTCTGAGACAGGGTTTCTCTGTGTAGTTCTGGCTGTCCTGGAACTCACTCTGTAGACCAGGCTGGCCTCGAACTCTCGAACTCAGAAATCCGCCTGCCTCTGCCTCCCAAGTGCTGGGCTTAAAGGCGTGCGCCACCACTGCCCGGCTTATATATGTAACTCTCTAGATTTGGTTTCAAACGAATTTTTTTTTCTTTTACATTTCATGTTATGCATATGAGTGTTTGGTCTGGTTGCATGTCTGTGTACCTCAGAAGCCAGAGGAGTGTACGAGATTTTCTGGGACTAGAGTCCTGAGTCCTCTGAAAGAACAGCAAGCGCTTCCCAACCACGGAGCTACTGCTCCAGCCCCTCATGAACAGAACCCGGAGTTAATGTCACGTGATGCAATGTATGCATATTTGAGCTTTAAAAAAATCCACCTTTTGGGGCTGGGGATGTAGCTCAGTGGCAGAGAACTTGCCTGGCAGGCACAGGGCCCTGGGTTTGATCCTCAGCACTGGTGGGGGGTGTGGGGAGAATCAATCTTTAACAAAGAAAGGGTATTTATCTTATGTGTGCGTAAAGGAATACCCCAAAGTGATGTAACCGATACTGACTGTGTGTCTACCATCTCAACAGAGTAGCTTGATAGGACAGAACTTGTTTGACTTCTTACACCCAAAAGATGTCGCCAAAGTAAAGCAACAGCTGTCTTGTGATGCTTCACCAAAAGAGAAACACTTAGACACCAAAAGTGAGTTCTTCCTTCAGAGTCTCTGTCCTGGCTTCTTTTCTGTTGTTATGATAAACTACCATGGTAAAAGCAACCTACTGAACAAAGGGCTGTTTTTATAGCTTACTGTTCCAGAGAGATAGAAACTATCACTGTGGGGAAGAAACTTCATGGAAGCAGGGAGATTCATGGAAGCTGGCTGATTAGAAGTTTATCCACATATAGAAAGTAGAGGGTGGGAGGGAGGGATGGAGGGAAGAAAGGAGGGAAAGAGAGAGGGAAGGAAGAGAGGAGAGAAGGAAGAAGGAGAATTCTTTTACTCTACAGATATATACACTAAATGTATTCATATGAAGATAATCTTGTGGGAATATATGATTGTTTATAGTTTCAATCCAAATAAGACTTTTATAAGACAATATTATTTGAGGTTAAAAAGTTGCTGGGCTTTTATTCTCTTTTGCAGATGGCCCTGATTTTCCTGGTATGAAAGGTCTTGTATAATTGGGCTTAGGAAGTATACGTATTCATTATTCAAAGACACTTGACTTATGAAAATGTTTAGTGCCAAATGAGTACCTATGACATAGAGACGGCAATAAGAGATGACTCTATTTAATAGAAGTTGCAGTTTTTGCAGATGATCCAGATTTTGTACCCAGCACACACCGGGACTCAGTCTTGCCTGGAACTGCAGCTCCCGAGGGTCTGACGCCCTCTGGTGGCCTCCATGGGCACACACAGGCATGCACTTGGTGCACAGATATTCACTTAGCTAAGTACAACATGCATAAAACAAAAAGGGGTTTTTAAAAATTAAAGGAAGAATTATCTGGCCAGTTTTAAATTTTTGTTTGAGACAGGTTTTACTGTGTAGCCTTTGTTGATCTGCAGCTCCCTGTGTAGACCAGGCTGGCCTTTAACTCACAGAGATCTGCCGGCCTCTATCTCATAGGTACTGGAATTAAAGGCATAGTTTTTGGTACATCCTACAATCCCAGCGTTCAGGGAGGCTGGAGCAGGGGAATAATGAATTCAAGGCCATCCTGGGCTAAAAGTAAGAACGTTTCTCAATAACAAAACACAAAACAAACAGGAGCAGTGGGCTAAGCTAGACATAATTGTCGTACTTGAGTTTCTTTTCATTTTAAAATTTTCATTCCATTTCAACTGTATTGTCCACTCACCGAATTGCAAGTGTTTTAAATTGTTGAGTGTGGTGATGCATGCCTGTGACTCCAACAGTCTAAAGTAGGGGTCCGTTGGGGAATACTGACGTTTGAGGCCAGCGGACCTACACTCTTACCTCGAAAACAAAATGTTGCCAAGCAAACACAACCCAAATATATCTGACTATAGTAAAGCACTAGAAAGGACCGGAGAGCTAACAATGCTCGCTGCTCTTCCAGAAGACCCCAGTTGGTTCCCAGTCAGGCCAGTCATAACCACCGCGACACTCGAGCATGCGCACGAGCATGCGCACGAGCATGCGCACGAGCATGCGC